CTAGTTTGCTTCTTCATAAGCATTTAACTGTTTGGCAATAAAAAATTATTGAAAAGTTTCTTTTTTTTCCTGAAAAAAAAAAAAATTATTTAAAGAAAGAAAGGAAAAGAATCCCACTGTAAATTATTCCACACTCGTTTGTCACTCTGTAAACCCAGTTCATTCGCACAGAAATGCAGGTTTAGTCTCTCTGCTTGCCTCATCTCGGGGAGGGGGGGGGGGAATCCACCCCCCACCCCCATCCATCAGCGAGGGCGGGGTTATTTACAGTTGTTATTTTACTAAACTATGCCTCAGGGGCATGGGGGTTAGAATGGGTGCAGTGATTCATTGTGGTCTCAGAATTGGGGGGTCACAGGGGATCTGCGAGAGCAGAGGGGAGTTCTGGACCTCCGTCTCCATGGCCCGCAGCTCCTGAGCCTGGATTTTATCTCCTAATTGTGCTTGGCAAGGCGGTCTGGCTTCCACAGGGAGCCTGGGCCTAACCAAGCCTAACTTAATCAAGTCCATGAGTGCCAGTGCAAAGGGGGGGGGGTTTAGGGTTGGAAGGGGGGCCCTGTTACCCCACGGTTCGCTTTGGCCTGGGCAGAGTGACAGAGTCCGGCTCTGCGGCTCCTCCGTTCATTGCTGCCGCCAGCAGAGCGACTCCACTTATTTGGCTGGAGTCGCTTGGTGATGTCCCTTTGGATTTGAGGAAGGTTAGCTGTGATATGTGTGCTTGTCTTTGCTGGTGCAGACGTGCATTCAGATCGGTGATCGGTAGCAGTGCAGGGGTTCTCAGAAGCTGCAGGGTGTGCTGTTTTCTGTTGATGGTCTTCAGTACCTAATTGAACAATTAATGTCTCTCCCTTACCCTGGGTTTCTAAGTCAAAGCTGGTTGCTTGTTTTAAGGTGGAAACAGAAACCAGCTTTCCTGCAGGAGCCGCCGATCTGAAATTCTGGGCCGATCTCTGAATTTTTTTGCGGGGGGGAGATCTTTCTCTGGACCTGGGAGAATCAACCTCCAAACAGATTTGGATAATACAATACAGGCATCACCACAACTGTTTCCATCTCAATGCTTTGATTAGAAGAGTCATGCCTGCACTGAATCATTTTGGCACAAATTAACCTGATGTACCAGACCTGGAATCAGCAGCTGTCTAGAATGCCGGCTTGTTGAGCACCACACGTGTCACAATGGCTTGCCATGGCAACCGTGTAGCAAGACTCCCAACATCACAATATAAAATGGTGGGCCAAGACAGCAGGCCCAGAATCCCTTTGGGTGCCTCCTCTGCTTCCTCAGTGCCTGTAAACCGGGGGGGCCGAACTCCAAGCCCAGAGGCCCAACATGTTTGCTGGTGTGGTGTATTTCAGCACTTAAACGGATTCATTTAAGACACTGATTAGCTGAAGAGTCCATAACCCATCGTTTCCAAGGTCTATATTAGCTGCCCGCTGAAAGGAAACCACAAAAATCATGCAGACACTTCGGCTTTCCAAGACCGGAGCTGCCGATCTCTGCTGTAATCAAACGCACACAGAGCAGGGACAAAAACTGCAACCCGGCATCGGGAAGCAGTCGAGGACAGTACCCAGGCAAGAGGGGTCTTTTCCTTTCCAAAAACGTTTGAGAACCAGATGGTCCTGGAATCCAAAGTTTCCATCTAAAAACCAAATCCGACTGTGATTTGAGTGCCCCTGCAGTACTTTCTTTAACGTTTGACCACAATGTGAAGGTGCAAATGGGACACCCACCAGGGAACTTAAATGCTTTAAATTCGAAACAGGAGTGATGTCGTTATACTGGGAGAGGGAAAAAGTGTTGCGCAAAATAACAGCATTGTAAAAGGTTAGACTCCCGAACACCTAACCTTGATTGATTTGTTCTCAAATCACTTTTGGCAGCAAGAATACAAACAGGAAAGCGTTGTATAGCTTCCAGTTCATAGAGTTTAGAGAAGTAAGAGGGGGTGGCATGGTTGAGGGGGAAGGGGGGGTTTATTTGTCACTTTGCTTGTTTGTTTCCATATGGAGAAGCTGGAGATGTTTGCCTGTAAGGCTAGAAGACCTGAAGACCAAGCAGGCACCAGTACTGCTTACTGACGTGTCAAACACACAGCTACTCGCACAAATACACACATGCGCACACACACACATGCACACACACCCACAAACATTTTTCCTACACTGAAGCTTTTGTCTTTCTCAATCCAGTTGATCTTCTCCTACTTCTGTCATTTCAAGCTGATCTAATACAGCTGGAGTTTCGCCCAGCGTTGGAGAGAGTGTGACACTGTGGTCGGTCAAAGGAGACGGGCTTCATTTTTGCGTATAGTGTTCGTTTAGTTTGGATTCTGTCGATGCACTAGCTGGTTCATTGTCGGGACAATAGTTTTACCGGCTTTCGGGCTGTAGCTCAGTGTTTCTTGCTGCAGTTCCCCTCACCGTCCAGCAGAGGGCGCTGACTTTAGAAGATCATGACGCAAGGAGCCGTACCTCCACAGAAACACGGTCCAAAGCGCAGTATGGTTGGCCTGGTTTGATTAGCATATCTCATACAATATTAGACACGCTAGTTTCCTCTCCTGGCTTTTTTTGTTTTTCCTGCTGTTATTTCTCTTCTCCTGTAACCCCTGGGGTATAGCACCTGGCAAAGCGACATGCATAAACAAGCTAAGAGGGTAATCACATCTTTTACTGCACTTAAGAGATCGACCGTTTCCAAAGCACGGCAGGCTGGTGATGAGAATTCCAGGGACAGCATCTTCGGAAAGGCCAGCGGTTAGGAAGCAAAGACACCAGGGCCTGTTTTCATAAAGCGTCTTTAAACGTAGTAACTACCGACCTGCAATCAGTTTTATCTTTCAGATGATTGTAGATTAGATCAGGAGGTGGCCAGGAACAACCTGATCCTGGATCAGCACACAGACTCAGATCTCCTTTTTTTTTTTTTTTTTTTTTTTTTTTTAAGGTGGCTGTTTTTGTTTGACCCGTACTCAGCCACACTTCCCCAGAGAGGGGCAGGCTTCCGGGGTAGGGGGTGTGTGTGCAGAGAACAGGGGGTCTAAATCGGTGGAAGATGGCCAGTCACTTGCATGATATCGCAGCTGTAGGGCAGTTTAATACGGCTCGTTAATCTCGTCCACCCACAACTGAACAGCCTATTTCCTGTTCCTCACTGCGGTATGATCCTGTGGCTCTGGCCCTGCCTCACATCCCTCCGCTCCTAAAAATGGCCGTCCTCCTGCGAGATCCTTGCTCCAGCTCACGTTTTGAGCAGACTTCGTTAAAACCCCGAAAGCAGCCGAACCCCGGATTCGTCCTGGTAGATGTGGAACCGGAGGTTCAGATTCCAAAGATGCATAGACTGGCATCTTGGTGCTGATTTCCAGAGCGATCTAAAGTTAAGGCCCGTATTCAAATAAATTTTACTCTCAATATGCTGGATATATTTGCTGGAGTTCATTGTGCACAGAGCTAATGAAATAAATTGAGAAAACACAAATACAGTTGCCCGTGTAAAGTGCACTGCTGGAGTTAAGTACCACCATGACCGATCTCAGCGTTGGAGTGCTTGTCTAGGATGAGGTTTCATCTTTCCATCCCACGTTATCCATTATGAGCTAAACTGCAGAACATACTAGATTTTTAGGATCTTTACTCATAAAGCATCCGCCTAGGAGTGCTGCTCTGAGGTCTGTATTCATCTGTTGGATCTGTATTCATAAAGCATATCGGTGCAGGAGTGCTGTTCTGGAATCAGGCATTCCCTGGCCATGTCCTCACTGTATCCATTAAGAATGAGAAGGCTAAACTGATCCTAGATCAACTCTTGTTACCGCCAAACACTTGATGAGTGCAGGCCTTGGTCCTAGTGGAGATTGAAGAAAGTGATAACCTAGATTTTTACTACTTGACGGGAAAGAATTTTCTGTCAGTACCTGGTTGTGTGTTCAAAGCCAGCATGTTGATAGGAACTTCACTTGCCCTGATAAAGTAAGTGAGAATGCGTTCTTGTTGTTGGTCTTCATACTTTGAGGATTTGATAATGGCAGAAAACCGTGGAGGGAGGCCATGAAAACACCAGTCCGGAGCACTAGACGTCCAAAGGCCCGTCAGGGAAGAGTGAGTCAAACAGAAACAAAAGACAGAACGAAATCCCTTCTCGCTTGTCCTCTGTGGAAACTTCTCGCACAAGTCATTTTTCAGCCCGCACGAGGTGGAGTGGCAAGGATTGCCATGGCGATGATATGGGTCATAATTCCGATCCCCTCCATGAATCTCTTCTCCTGTCGCTTCTTTTGTTATTACAGAGCAGGATTCCTGAGGCTTTAGGTAGGTTTTTGGCCTGTAGCACCCTCCCCCCCCCCACCCCACCCCCACCTCTCCTTCCTTCAGTTCCCTTCATCACGAGGCTCAGCTTTGCACTTGCTTGGCAACTGGGCCGAACGCCGTAAATCACAGAGACGGATGGCGGGTTTTGGCCCCAGCTCCGGGTTCGGGGTGGCGTCCAGCGAGCGCGATCGCTTTTTCCCCCTTTTAATTTAGGGGCGCTGGCGAGCGGCGGGCGTCGCAGCTGTGATTGATGCGCCCGCGGCTCGGGTTGGGGACCCCCTCCGAGCAGGTGCGTGTCAAACCCAGCCCAGCCTGGAGCCCCATCCTGCTGCTCGTTCACACGTCCACTAAACCCATCCTCTCTTTCCCGGCTCCCCTCCTCAACCCTTCAGCTGATTCATTTACCAGAGTCGCTAGGTAATCCAGTCAGCACTGAAACACCTGATTGGTGTAACAGATTCATCGATGAGCTTTGCTCTTGTTTTGAGGGCACAGGTGACCAATCATATGAGAGAACAGCCAGTATAGGTTCAGGCCCAGGTTCTGACTGAGCTGTGAACTAAAACAATAGATTCAGCTCATCAGTCAAAAGCATCGTCCTACTATACTGTTTTGTGAAATACTACACACAACACACTATCGAATTATACAGCTGAATACTTAAGGTAGTAGGTAGTCTGTGCCCTACCTGGGAATTGAACCCAGCACCTCTCCTTTGGAAAAGCAGCTCCTTAGCCATTATGCTACGGTGCTACCCCAGGCGACTCAGCAGTGTCCTCTCCTCCTGCTGGGCTGCTGGAACGCAGGACTGTGTTAACTTTGTTTTTCTGCGGTTAAGTTGTGTTGAGCCACGCTCCCTCTGCGGCTCGGAGATGATTACAGACACACAGCTGTAACAAATTTAATGTGCCCTCACCTCTCTGCGGTGTGCTTATGGTGTTCACAGACCTCTTCCTTCTGCAGTTTGTGTGTTGACTGTTTTCTCTTTGGGGTTTGTGTTGAGAGTGAGCTGACTGACTGTTTTGATGGTGTGTAATGTGTTGCTCTGTGTTTTCTCTGCTGTTTTTGCATGTGTTGACAGTAAGTTGACAGTATGCCATCTCTCTTCAGTTTTACGTGTGTTAAACTGTGTGCTTTTCTTGTACCAGTTTGTGCATGTGGGTTGTGTATCACCTTTGTGCTATTTTATGCATGTTGGTAGTGTGTTGACAGAGTGTGTTGACAGAGTGTGTTGACGGTGTGGGTTGATGTTGTGTGTTGTGGCAGTGTGTTGACGGTGTGTGTTGACGGTGTGTGTTGATGCTGTGTGTTGTGGCAGTGTGTTGATGGTGTGGGTTGACGTTGTGTGTTGTGGCGGTGTGTTGTGGCAGTGTGTTGATGGTGTGGGTTGACGCTCTGTGTTGTGGCAGTGTGTTGACGGTGTGGGTTGACGCTGTGTGTTGTGGCAGTGTGTTGATGGTGTGGGTTGACGCTGTATGTTGTGGCGGTGTGTTGACGGTGTTTGTTGACCTATCGTTGCAGTGAATGGGCAGCCGCGGCCGTTGGAGTCCAGCCAGGTGAAATACCTGAGGAGGGAGCTGATTGAGCTCAGGAACAAAGTGAACAGCCTGCTGGACAGCCTGGAGCCGCCTGCCGAGCCCGGCTTCACCGCCAGCGAGCCCCACAGCGGTATGGAGCCGTGCACACACACGCACACACGCACACACACACACACAAACACGCAGAGTCTCCTACAGCACACTCACTCATACTGCTCATACACGCACACACACACACACACACGCAGAGTCTCATACAACACACTCACTCATACTGCTCATACACACACATGCAGAGTCTCATACAACACACGCACTCACACTGTTCATACACACGCACACACACAGAGTCTTATACAGCCCACGCACTCATACTGCTCACACACACGCACAGACACACACACGCTGAGTCTCCTACAACACACTCACTCATACTGCTCATACACACGTGCACGCACACACACACACGCAGAGTCCCATACAACACACTCACTCATACTGCTCACACACACACACGCAGAGTCTCATACAACACACGCACTCACACTGTTCATACACACGCACACACACAGTCTCATACAACACTCACACTGCTCACTCACACACATCCTACAGGCACCTTCTGTGAGTAGATGTACTGCACTGTTGTCTTGCGTTTTCTTTCTTTAAGCTAATTGGGCAGAGCTTCTGTAACACCCCCTCCAGCTCACATTCAGATAAGGGGGACTCCCTGGCTCCAAACACAGTGTTATTCACATATATCTGGAGTCCAGCTTCACTCCAGCCCCCTCTCAAGAGCTGAAGGACGTTTTTAACGGGTGTTCCCTGCTATTGCTGTCAGCCCAGGGTTTATGAGAATCAGATTCAGTCGGCATCTTTCAGAGCGCTGCGTCTGAGAAACGCGCCCCCTCCACATCCCTCACACAATACCAGCATCACTTCGCATTTCTGACTCGCGTTTGTCTTTGTCTGTGTTCTTTTTCTGAGTGTGCAGCTTGATCATATTGGGTTTCAGAAGCGTTTGTTTTTTTTTTTTTTTTTTTTTTTTTTTTTTTAGTGTTGTTGTAGTGGGCTGTTCCGTGAGGAAAGAGTCTGGTTGTTCTGTCAAACCAGTGTCAGAATGATCAGAGAAACCCACACCAGACTAATGTTAAGATTAGCAAAACCCTCTGAGTCTGAGATACACAGGATATAAAAAAAATCAGATGAGAAAGGCCTGCAGACTTCTCAGAAATGATTAATGTCTTCCCTTTGCTCTCCCATTTTCCCAATGGGCCCATACTGTGTTGGGAATGTGGAATCGTGGGTTACATCTAAATCAGAAGAGGATGTGGAGACTGACCTATGACCCCTGCAGGTGGTAAACAGTACAGCATGCCCACCAAACATGGCCAGACATGCGCTGGAAGTACATGGGAGAAACATCAGAGGAGAAGCAGCGACAGGTGGTTTTAAAAGCCCTCTCCAGCTGCACTCATTTCCTGATTTAACCAACACACGTAATACTCATAACACAGAAAGTGAGAGATGGTGATGAAGGACTTTGCTAAACTAGTTGGAATAGTAACATCCCACCATTTGCTCAGTAAATTGTCATGTCTGTAATATATGGAAAAACATATGTGAACAGCACATAGGAAAAGTTTCAGGAGGAGCTGAGAAAGCTGACTTTATGGCATAGGTACTTGTGCTTTCACTGACGTCAGTTTTCTGACTTGGGTCACTTTTGGAACAGTTTTAGAACTGCATGTTGAAGAGTCGTCAGAATGAGTCAAATCAGCCTTGAATAGCCCTTTCATGCCCTGGTTCAGGCTCCGCCCACTAAGCTGATCCATGGCTGTTACCCGGGAAACAGGCTGGGCCTTGGGAGTTTAAGGTAAAGATAGCCATGGGCAATAGAGCACCCAATTACCCATTAAATTATCCAGCTACTGCTCAACTGCAGGCGGTTGCTGTGTTATTTAGGCTGCAGTTGTCCTGTCCTTGTACGTTTGGTTTCACAGAACTACAGCGACATTACTGTTGACGAAAATTACGTAGGGAAAGGCACTAACTACAAATTCTTATGGAAGAATTTGTTTTAAGTCCGTTGTTTCAAAAGCAGGCCTGTGTTCTATCAGGTGGGTTTCTGCTCGGACGTGGTCTTAAAGACGGTGGTACCGATCCGTTTTTACATTTAGGTGTAGCGCTGTCAGGCTCTGAGAGAAACCAGACCTCTTCCTGGGATTTGAGCTTCGCTGGGGCTTGGAAGATCAGGTCCTGATTGCATCTGCAGACCCCTTGTGTTTCCCTCACTCCAGCGTTCCAGAGACAAAAAAAGACAGAGGTTGAAGAGCGTGTAAATTATTTATTAATATGAAGTTTTTCTCAGCCGAGGGGAAAGGCACATTCTCTCAGGCAAGACTTTCAGGAGGATTCCAATTTACCTGCTTGGAGAGTGCTGTGATCGCCCCCTGGTGGCAGTGCTGTATTCCAGCAGGTCCAGCTTCACCCAGTTCCAGCAGTGACGTGATAGGATCTGTGCCAATGCGAAAGACACCCTCGCCCCAGTCACATCCCTGTTTCTGCATCCATGGTTAAACGGGAATGTTGTATTTCTGGAAATTCCTGAAGCTCTCGGGGGTACCCTAGTCACCCCCTTGTTCTGTGATGGCATATATTTCCTAGAAATTACCGTGGCACAGACAGCTTTGCAGGTTCTCAAGGCCAAAGCCTTCTGCTTTGGCAATCTGGGGTCAACGGCCCACACGGGCCAGGCCAGTGATTGGCCAGAGCCAAAATCCTTTCCATTTACATGGGAATTTGGAGATATGGAGACGCCGTGGCCAAACATCAACAAAAAGAAAGAAAGGGCTGAGGTAAGATTCATTTCAGGTGCAGTTTGTTAAAAAAACGTTTTTCCATTGGAGATCTGAGGCCATGGAAATCAGATGGCAGGATTAGCGGGGGGAGCCATGTGACCTGGGGCTCTGTTTGTCACTCCTCAGGGTGGGGGGGGGGGTAACGACGGGATTTCCTGAAGGATTGGGCCCTGTGCGCCGTAGGGGAGATGCGTTTTGGGCCAGCGGTCCTGGAAGCCAGCTGCCTTTCAGGATCTCCCCCCCAGCGGGGCAGATTTACGCCTCGGAACACCGCTGACAGTTTTAAGCTCTCCGCTTCATGACTCATACCTGGAACCACTTGGCTTTGTGTAGTCATGAGTGTGTGTGTGCATTTGAGTGTTTGTCTATGTGTGTGTGTTTGCATACAAGCCCGTGACTGCAAGAATCTGCATGTGTGTGTGTGTATGCGTGTGTGTGTGCATGCGTGTGCGTGTATTTGTTTGTGCTTGCACGTGTGTGTGTGTGTGTGTGTGTGTGTGTGTGTGCATTTGTATGTGTGTTTATTGCGTATGTGAATGCAAGTGTGTGTGTGTGTGTGTGTGTGTGTGTGTGCATATCTTTGTTGGGGGGGACATGTATGCTCGCACACACACACACACACACACACACACATGAATTTCAATAGCTGTCCAGCCCTCATCTCCGGTATGAGTAGCCACTGTTTGTGTGCTGAATACACACAGGTGGGCCCTCTGTCCCAATGCTGGTCCACATGGGCCTGTATTTCATCCTGCAGTTCGGAGCGAAAGAATTCAGAGTCTCTGGATTCCACAACCATAAAGGCAGTAATGGTTTGTGATTAGGGGAGCGTTTGTTGACTCTGGCCTTGGGAGCCTCTCTCTAACAGATCCCCGGTCAAAGAACCCGGCCCCCTTCTCTTTCTCCTCGCTCAGAATATCTCCATATCACGTCGGCCCCCATGTTGTGTGAGCTCCTGATCCTCCAGGCCCACTTCCCCAGATCCTCTCACTAAATTTCACATTAGAGATGCTGTCTGTTTGGTTGGATAGGTTTGTTAGGAGAGTTTACTGTGGTAATGTTTGCTAAGGACAGATGACTGTAGCGCATATTGCTACATAGTTATTCGCTCTTAATACCACAGCTCATACCCTCCCATTTAAGCAGATTTGTGCCATTTGTGCCTTTCGTTTCCCCAGTCACCCTGAATAAGCTTCTTTCAAATGTAGTATCAGTTAAATGGAATCAATATGCCAGAATAGAGTTTGTATCAGAAGGTAATTGTACTGTAAAAGGTGGAATTGATTCAGTCTCTTTTCTTTGTCCACCCCAGGAGTTGATCAAAAAGAGAAGGGGGGAAAAAAAACTGCTTAG